CATCCAGATCCATCTGAACCTGCCTTTTGTCTCCAGGTGGAATTAGCTTCCCACATTTTTATTCTTTGTTAGTATCTTCCATTTATTGGAAGCTGACTGACCTTGATGACAGCCTACTTGTTCAAAAGCTAACTGCCTCCAACACATTTAGCAATTTATCATCATATCCCCTAAACAGTTCACAACCCATAGCTTTAAATGCAAAGCTGCATTTCACTCAAGAAGCAAAATATAATTCCAAAGAAAGTGTTTGGAAGAGTGAAACAGCCACTACAATAGTATTCCTTCTGTTGCACACTACTGTGCTTCGTCATAGGGAAAAAAATAAAGAGGGTAAAAAATAACACCATAAACTTGTTGTGCCATCCAAAAATCACATGGCTGCCTGGAGTGCATTCTTTGCACATGCAAAACAGCCCTGGGCTTACTGGGTGATTAGTGCTGCTAAGCAAAACTCTTGAAAGATCGCATGTCAGATTCCAACCCCCCGCCAAACAAAACAAAACAAAACAACAACAACAACAAACATAAGACTTTTCAAAGTTAAAACTTCAGGGTTATTTCCAGCTGTGTTTTGGTGTCTCGGGGTATACTGTGTCATGTAGATGTGCCCAAGCTAGCTTGCCCATCACCTAGGTGCAGCAGGCTGAAGTTCAGCATGAGCTAAGTTAACCTGCCAAGAAGCACTGCTGTAGAGGCAACCGTGTGATCCATACAGTTCTCACTTGCAAGCTCTTTTCCACAGGTGTGAGAGCTAGAAAATTGCTTCAAAGACAGGAGGTTCCCTTGTAATCCTAGGAAGGCTGGGGCATTAGGAGAGTAACAAAACATGACAAACTCTCAACAAAAAATGGGAAAATTAGTAACATTGGGACTTCCACCTGGGTAAGAAGTACAAGATGACATCTTTGCTTTGCAACTTATGCCCTCATCCTTTCAAACTCTATCCCAGAGCTACTCAGGATTAAGAACAAAGCTATAGGTTAAAAGAGATTATGTACTGTTTCTCTGAGGATTTTTTTTTTAACATGCGTCTGTACAGAGCCTTGAGCACTGGGGCTCTGATCTGGATTGGGCTCTCTGAGAACTTGTTCAATGCATATACGCCATCAAAAATAATAATGCAAGTAAAAGATGTAGTTACGACACAACCATACATGGAAATATTTTAAGTAAATAATGCCACTGCACATTAGAGAAAGTGTGGAACCTCCATCCTTGGAAATTTTCAAGAGCAGGTTAGATAGACACTTGACAATCGGAAGTAACGATCCTGCCTTGGGCAGGGGGCTGGACTAAATGACCTCATCTGGTCCCTTTCAACTTGACTTTCTTATGATCCTACTCTCTCTAAGGGCAAGTATTGCCTTTCATAAAACTGCTGTGTTGACTATCAATGGAAAAAGAGGGAAGCTCCTCTTTAATTGTTATTGCTACTACATGGGCTTCTAGAGCTTTGTATAAGCATTTGTGTTGAATTTTGTATAAATCTTGAATATATCAACCCCCATATATGCCCAAATATACAGCATTTTACCACTTTCATGAAAACTTAGATCAAATGGAGCCCAATTCTCAGTTGTCTTGGTACCATGCCTAGTTGAAGCACCAGTACAAATCGTGGATAAGGTGCTACCACTTCGGAATGGCAACATCATTGTATGTGGCCACTCACGTAAGTGAGCATGTAAAACACAAGATAAGAGCCAGTCCCTATGCTACGTGAATACACCTTCTGGAGGGAGCCCAAGAACACCAAAGCCTACAGTTTAGGTAGAGAAAATGGCTTAAGTACATGCCTGCAAATCCCTGAGCATGCCATTACCATGCTCAGGTTCTTCAACCCCAAGACTGCTTACACATTAACCAGGCATAAGTGGGCAGGGTTTCTCATGGCACCCCTCCCCAGTCTAACTCCAGAAGGAGTCCATCTGGAGACAATGCTTTTATCAGTCAAATCTGGCCAGTTGTCATTAGCCACAAATCTGCAGTCTCATAGTAATGTGCCTTTTGGGACCAATTCAAAGCTATGGAAGGTGAGGAAATTTTTCCTATTAGGTTCAGCAGATTGCGAATCAGACCCTCTGAACTTACATTATTGATATGGTTAAAGCCAAATATCCCCCCACCAAAAAAAAAAAAGAAAGAAAATAGAAAGAAACTGGTGTTTGCATTATTTAAGAATAATAGTTTAACAGTATGTGTGCAATAAATTTAGCAATAGAGTTTTACCTGCAAATATGAGGGATCTATGTGGACGTATGAAATTTGCACAGTCCCCGGTGAATGATTCATGAAAAGTAGAGTCTCCGGTGATAGATTATACCATTTACCTTTGAGAGCATTACTGCACAACTGCTGCTTTCAACAAACTATATTTAACTGCCTAATTATACATTTACCAAACATACCAGGGGAGCTGACTGGTCCCCTCCTCTAGGAAAAGGGAGTGGGATGGGTTGATCAGGGAAAAACTGATGCAATAACCAAGAGAATCTGGTTATTGCAGTGCAGCATTCCATTGCCTCTGCATGAAAATGCATGTGCCAGAAGGAGAAGGGAATGTGATAAGCACTGTAGGAACAGCCTCAAGCCTAGAGTTCATCTGTATGACAAGCAGCAACATACAGGAACATCACTAGGGCAGGGTCACCCACTTATTTTTTTGTGGACATAACATCACATATGGTTCCCCAGCCAACCTCTGCCATCTTTCTGCCAACTCCCCTCCATTCTACTCTCTGGCATGCTTAGGGAGCTGGTTGCAAGGGAGGAGATCAGCTGGGGCATTAGATGTTCAACAGCATCATATCACTTAGACCCTGGAACCCTGCATAAAAACATACAAATCTGATCAATACATGGTGCAACATACCCTCCGGATGGACTTCGCACAAGTCCAGGGATCACAAGGGCTCATGATATATTCTATACACAGTTTTAAAACAGCTATTTGTTCACAAAAACAACAGGAAGTTTCATATACGAGTGGGGTAGGCTTTTTTTAAGTTATACCAGATGAATGGATTAAAACTAAAATCAAAACAAAGGCACAACACAACTAAATTATGCTCCATCTACTCTGGGTAGTTGTATTGTCTCCAGCCTCTTTTTCAGAACCCTCACAGCATTTAATGGATTCATCTTCCTACCTCCCTTCTCAAATGCAGACAGGATAGTACCCCAGATGTACAGATGGAGTCACAGAGAAGTTAAAGTCCAATTCTACAAAAGCTTCTAACTCCCCCTCACTCTGCACTACCCTGAAATGATGTGACAGAAGTGCACAAGGCAGCATAGCCCCATGTCCTGCACAGCATAAGGGCAACCTTGCCAATTTGCTCTGGATAACACCCTCTGCTCCCTTTCCACAGGTGTGAGGCAAATGAGAACCAGATCCCTGCTTAAGAAAACAAATAAAAAGTTATTTAAAACAACCTAAATGGTGGGTTTTCTGGCAATTCCATTGCAGTGCCTCCAACATTTACTAAACTAAAATTACTGGCTTTGTCTCAAGCAGTCCTTTAAAAGGCCACTAGCTTAACTGAATAAAACTAGAACTTGCAACTGTCTGTTACCCACAGAGAGGTACTTGTCATTAGATAGAATAAAGGCAAAGTTAGCAACTAGCTACAACTGTTTATAGACAGCTAACTTTCAACGTTTGCTGTCTTCTGTTTGACTCCATGCTGTTATGCACACTCATGCAGGTCCTCACTCCCTGCCTCTCATCATTTGTTTTTTTTTTCCCTCCCCCCAAAAATTCTGTAGCCTTTTACCTACCATTTATGGGGTTGTTGTTGTACAATGAAAGCCAAGCAATTAACCTGAACCAAATGTGCTCTAATTGGTTATAAATAAAGAAACACCAGCCTGCTTGCAAGCACAATAGCTATGCTGTCCATTCATAATTTAACATGTGCCACTTCAGTCCAAGCAACACCTTGGTATTCAGCTACTTACCATTCACTAGCACACCCATTTCCTGACCTCCTTTATTTTAGGCACTGAATGGCCATTGTTTGCATGTCTGCAGCTGGAAGCAGCACAGTATCCTAAGGTAGTACTCCCATTACATTTCCTGACGACTTTTATTAGATGACCAGTGGCACGCCACATGCTCTTTCTGGTGCCCTTATCTCTAAAACAGATTTGCTGCTGCCCAGCCACTGAATACAAAACATTTACTCCTCATATTTAAAACAAGCTTTTTGTGAGAAGAGATCAGGGTTTTATTATTCATTACCACTGAAGTGTTCATAGGACACCTGACACATGGATGCCTTTCAAACGGTTTAAAATTCAGGCTCTTCCCACTCCCCAGTAAAGAAAAGGATACTACTCAAGCAACAATTACCAAGGTGTTCTGTCAGCAACCCCAATTCTGGCTTCAAGCCCCACTTCTGCAACTGCATTTCCATGGGGCCCCAACTCCTGGGGTTGAGACTCCATTTGGGGTTTTAACACCGAGCCTGAGAACCACAGCACCAGCAGTTTACTCCTAAGCCTACAGGCACATATGTAAACCTTTCATTACTACACACGAACAACCTCATTCTGCATTGCTGTGAACTGACCGACTGTTGGTTCCTGCTGATAAACCTCTGGAAGCACCTTACCAACAAAGAAACAAATGGGCAAAGCCTGCCTTCCCCTGAGCAGTAGGTAGAGGACATGAGGTGGCAGCCTACTGTTTCCCAGCCATTTAAGTGGTTATTTCTTGGTCTACAGGGCATTTTTGGTGCTTACGCACCCAGAGAGATTCTATTCCTGGACATGTGGCTTTGCATGCATGGATACTACGGATGACTAGACAGCTGCGCAGACAGAGCATGTGCAGAAGGGGCCAGGGCACATACATGCACCCCTTGTATCCAAAGATGTCCAGAACTGTGAAACTGAGCAAAAGCCATGACTACCAGATTTAGACTCAAGAAGTGGTAGGGGAAAGTTGAAGCTACATATTTTCCCTCCAATAACAGAGGGGCTAAGCCACTCACCTCAAAAGACAGAGGACCTAGTTCCCAAGCTGTCCTCACTCAGTTGGTGTTTGAATCAGGATCTCTTTTTCTTCCAGCCATTATGCAGTCCCATCTTCTAGTGAAGCTGAGCCACTAATATAGTCTCTAAGAAAAATGAAAGGACGATACTGTAGGCAGGAAACTTTGATCTCATTAGTAGCAAGGACCCAACTAGAAACCAGGCCTTGCTCCTTGAGCCAAACACCCTTTGACTTCCTTCCTTTCTCCTTCCCCATATCTCCCTCTCATGGCTGCCCAAGGGGCCAGCTCCAAAAAGTGCTGGAGAAGGGACTGGATAATAGCTGATATATAATATGATAGTAAAGAGTGCTGTGTTGAGACGTCACAAAGATCAGGTTCAAATCACCTCTGGGTCCTCTGGCTTCCCAGGTGAGTGTGCTAGACATTCAACAAGTCAGCAGGGGGCTGGGGGAAGTGGTAGAGGGAAAGGAGGAAGGAAGACAGGAAATAGTATTTGCTTGCCAGTGTGCACATCTAGCCTGCATGCCCCTGTAGTCATCCACACATGCAGGGCTACAAGTCCAGGAATAGAATTGTTGCGGGAATTTAAATGCCAGAAATGTCACGTACATGACGAAATCTAGGCTCTCAAATGACCAAGAAAAAAACAGAATTCCACCTACGGTTCCCTAACCTCATAAGTGTCCCAAGGGGCATAGGACGTTTCCACATGTATAGCTGCATGGAGAGGCAGCTCTGCTAATCACAGCCTTTTCCTTCATGGCAGCACAGCTTTGGGAGGATCTGTCCTCCATCTGACCTGCCCCCACCCAAGCCAGCATCATACTAGACTCATTGACAAAGAGAAGAAGGTAAAGAGCACAAGAGAACATTCACATAAGTTACTGCTATTAGCTCCAGCCCCTTTGCCTGTCCAGTTATCCATCAGTCTCCTCAGGGAAACCACGATTATACCAACCCTCCCTCCACCGAAAAAACAAACTCAGAGCCCCAAAGCAGCTCTACTTATGCTAAAGTTTCCCTGGGGCTCCAGTGGGGTATCAGTGCAGCCATTTAATCTGGCCTCCTCTGTTTTCAGGCAGACTGGCCAAGGCAGAAGTGCAATTATTGTGCTCATTTCCTAGCTCTTACTCTAAAGGTTTCAGCCTTGACCCACAAAAGCAGCACAAAAAAATCTCAGAAAACTAGACAGATGCAAGGTCTCCTGTTTGCTGCCCTCAGCAACTGCATCACCAGAGCACAAATGCCCCCTGAGAAAGCACCAGTGAGCAAAGCAACCAGCAAACGCCTGGGATTGCCTACATGCAGCTTCAGGCAATGACTACATAGCACAGGTAGAGGCCTCTAAATTTGCTAGTAGGGCCAGAGTTCTGCCATTCAAACCCACCTCGAGCTATCATGAGGTTAGGTAACCAAAAGTTTATACTGTCCCCGCAGGTTTCCCCTATGGCATTAGTACCTGTCAACTGATGCTTTGTTGTAAACTGTTCGTTCTTAGCTCTGTCGCACCGGAGGTTTCCATGAAAGCCAAGAGTTATTTTTTCACCCTGCTTTGGTATCCAAAGGAATCCTTTTGATTCTCTATGAAAGCAGTCACTGCCTTGCATATACATGTTCCCAAGCCACCCTTTTTGTCACCAAGGGGAAGAACGGTTCTGTGAGTTTTTGTTTGCCAGGACAGGGGGTGGGGGAGGAACAAACCAGCAGACAAATCACAGCTTAGGGGTGACAGGGCCACTCTGCTACTGTTCCAATCTTGTTCATCTCTGCTCCATTCCACCCCCTCCCCGCCCCCATCTGGGAGTTGCTATTTTGGAAGGCCATTTATCTTCAGTCAGAGAAAAGGACTTCACAATACTGAAACAGAAACCAGAGCCTGAAAAAGGACACTGCACTACGTGCCCAGAAGCTTGCTTCAGTTCACATTTGCTCCTGCTCTATCTGTAGGAGGCAGTTTTAACTTCATAAATAGCAGTTTTCCTTTTAAAAGTGTGTAGCAGGTCTCACCAAAAATAAGTAAGTAAATATATAAATAAATAAAGACTCACACTTGGACTATGAGAGTTCCTATCCACACCAAGCCTACAGTCTACGGTTAACCACTTGTATAAGCACCCCATACCCTGGAGATAACTGCAACTCCTGTTGAACCTTTAAAGCAGAGCATGGCACAAAGACATTTTGCTTGGCACATGCACCTTGGGGAAGGGGTCAAGGCTGCGGTGCCACAAAAAGGATTAGGCCCCTCATAGATCCCCCACAGTCCGCTCCTGGGATGCCAACATCTTATGACTGGAGGTTGCAGGTGTTCTTCGCACTCTGCCCAAAAATGTTGCTGACCCCTGCATTAAAACTCCGGGGCCCTTGTATAAAATGAGAAAACCATTCTGTCCTCAAATTGTCTCAGCCATGTTGCCTTTGGACCCAGTTTTCAAACTTGCCTATCTACAGCTCATCCTCTAAATACCTGCTTAAGGTACCTAAATGTAGACCCAAGTTTCTAGAACTTTGCCTTGAGGAAAAACTTTCACTGGATAAGCTAACGAAGTGACTTAGCTAATTTAAGTGAAAAAGAACAGATGCCAATGCAGACATTCTTATTCTGGTTTAAGGGCAGCTTATTTTGATGGAGCTTAAATCATTCAGGAACAGCTTTAAACTAACCTGAAACAAATCACAAGTATACCAAAATAAATACTTACACATTTGCTGGTTTCCATAAATTGCCAAATTTACTCAAATCCCAGATGAGATTTTTCCCACCAATCACCATGGGGATTGGAGGGGGGGGTGAACCCATTTACACTCTAGTATTGGTCCAGTGCAAGCAGCAGCTAAGCTCTGGATTTGGCCCCAGGGCCCAGGCCAAAGCTGAGCCACAACCTTCCCCAGGCCAGGGTGTCTTGTGTGGCAGCTGGCAGGGGAAGGTGCTTGTAGCAGGGGAAACCCCATGGTGGAGGGAGCACAGTGGGGACTGTGCAGCCTGCCTCCATACCCCTGCCTTACTTTCAACTCTAGGTCTGACCCAGCCTGGACCTGCTACTGTTTGGCCAGGCTAGGACACTGCTGACTACCCCAGATCATCACAGAAGGTAAATGGGGGGGGGGGGG